TCCATATTGTCGCATCAATCGAGAAGGACAATAAAAAGTCAGCTTTGAAATACTAGGAATGCGACAATACGGAGTATCATTTGTGCCAACCATCCTACTAAGCCTTCACAAAGGCACCACCCACTGATTGGAAAATTCTCTCTTGGCAAAGAAAATCTTCCAATCATCATATGACATGTTCGCAGAGTAATTCTTCTTCCTGTGGACTAGATCGTTGGGACCAAATTTTTCAATATTGTCGGGCGCTTCAAAACTTTCTAAACGCTCCATCAACCAAATCTGCAAAATAAAATAAAATCAGTTAAAAAAAATTGTAGAAAACCACCGTGACACGGCAGAATGCACCATGTCACGGCAGACATGCACCGTGATACGGTGCCTGTTTTGTGTCACGGGGGATAATCAGAGCGTATTTTTACCTGCAACAGTACTAGAGAGCCCATCCTAACGGCTTTCCGATCAGCTTTTGCTTCGTCATGGCCGCGCAAAGTTTTTCCAAGGCAAGTAGGCATAGGAGATCTCAAAGATTCAACATGTTCAAACACAGAAGCTGAACAAGCATGTCCTACTCTAATATTGGCAAATAAAAGCTTGCTAACACATGCAAAAAATATAAGCCCTTCTATGGTATACATGATAAGACTCAGAGATAGGGCGATTGAAATACAAATTCGCAAGCTTTTCTAAATCTATTTCATTACCACAAACAATTTTATTTAAATCGGGATCTGTCAGATTCAGATGGCGTTCAAAGTCTTGGTAATAATACTCACGTAGGGTAGGCATAGAAATGAGATTTCTGGCAAGATCACCAAGATGGCACCGAATTCCTCCGGCAAGGGACATATTTCATCATAATCAAATTTACAAGAATGTGTTTCTAGAATCCAATAGTCTAAAGCTGCCCTAAGAAAATCTTGTTCAATTACTACATGCCTCAAGGCTAATAAGTCTCTGACATAAAACAATTCAAACTCTCTTTTGTCAGCATTTGTCAAAGAATAAGACCAGTCGTGCAATGCATTATCTAAATTCTAAGACATTATTATCGAAATATGAAATTCTAATTATTTTATATTTCGTAATAATGCATATCACGAATAAACTGGTCCTATTTTATATCCAAAACGCTTGGAAATACTCAAAATCTATCTTTCTATGCACGCAAACTACACCGCTACAGAATAAGCGCACCGCGACACAGGAAATTTCACCATGTCACGGGAAATAGTGTCGCGACACGGCAGACGTTGTCGTGACACGGAGCACACTGTCGTGTTGCGGTGCCCATGCGTTTTCTTTTTTTATCTCCTTTACCTATTTTTATCCGGATTTTTATTGTTTTGTCTTCACAATTTATCTTCCAATTATGTTTTTCGAGAGTTTCATTCCTAATAAAATTCTCCATTTATTTAAATTTTTATTTTTTATTTTTTTATTTTAATTTTTTTTATCTTTATTATTTATTATTATTTTATTTTATTCTTTATTATCACTTTATTCTTATTTCTATTTTTATTTTTAATTTTTATTTTTATTTTCCTTTTTCTTTTGGGGAAGTTGTAAAACTTGTCCCATTTTCATGTTTATTTTTATTTTTCTATTTTATTTTGGAGGAGTTGTAAAACTTGTCCCATTTTCTTTTTTTATTTCTTTTTTCTTTTGGGGAAGGTCGGTACCCTCCACTTACGATTTTTTCGTGTCATTAATAAATACACAATCACACACAATGAGTCTCAAGCACACACTAATACACACTAATAAATGCATAAACTGTGAATAATGTACAAAGTGAATCATGATGCATAAACAGTGTCAAGTGTCATCAACCAAAGTACAAAATAAAAACCCTCGGTAAAAAATCTGTAGAACTAGAAGAGTGAGGATCAGTGTCATCTCCAGCCTGTGAATACGGGAACGGTGAACCAAAGAGTCCCTCCATCATCTGGGTATGAGAAGTAGTATCCTTACTAGTACATGTAGCTCCAGTAGTAGACAAACTCAAAGAAGGACCCGTTCAACTAGCAAACGACATAGACTGACTCCTAGAGGTAGGAATCGTCGATGGAGGCATCGTCCGAGACACTGGAATTGAAAATAAGTCGGGCACCGGTGGAGGAAGCGCCCCAGACAATGGAACTAAGTATAAACCCTGGTCCATAGGAGTAATGACTGGCCTGAACTCAGGTTGTGAAGGCTAGGATGATGAAGGCCGCTGCCACTGACCCTGAAAAATGCTGGAATGGAAGAGAAGGTTGAGGCTGCTGCCACATAGCTTTCTGAAATGGCTAAGAAGACTAAGACTACCGTTGAGACTGAGAATCCCGACGAACGTCAAGAGATCGTCTGTCTCGACTAGGTTCCCCCTCGTTCGAGCCTCTGTGCCTTGAGCGCGAGCGAGATCTTAGTTGCTCCTGAAAAACACAAAATGAAAAATGTCAATGGTGCAAGGTAGAACAAATGGTAAATATGGGGTAAAGGGTGAATATACCTCGAGAACATCGCCAGAACCGCCCCGACAACTTGCGCCACGTCGAATCTTGAAGATGAAATCCTTCAAAGTGTCAACCAGATTCATGAATCCCATCATAGTCGAGTGCGTAGGCTGAGAACAAAGCAAAGAAAAATTAGTAAAAAGCGGTATTGAAAAGGATGAATAGTGTGTTAAAAAGCTTACCGGGTCAAACACATCAGGCAAAGATTCATGTGCCTATTTGAAACCCTCTGGCGCATCAGCAATATGATCCTCGGTAATACTGATCGGCCCCAGGTAACGGACAGATTGAGGCAGGACCTCAATCTTCCCCATACTGCGAACGGTCGTCTGAAAATACGATCGAATAATCAGGTTATTCGACGGTTTAAATAGAGACTAGCGACAAAATTCATGATATAAATCAAACCTCGGGAAGACAAGGTGGAGGAGCCAAAGAGGGAAGCAAGTCTTGCGAATAATCGCCCTCCATACGCACAAGCTCCTGCCAAGGAAAAGTGTAGCGCTCTCCCCTGTTTATCAACCCCCTAAGAAAACGTGAGTCCAGCATCGACTTTAGTGGAGGCAAGGGCACCACAAAAAGATCAGCACTGTGCTGACAAACAACGCGCTCCCTAAGATACCATGCAAAGCGTCCAGTACTGTTGGGCCCGTATTATCACACGACCCATTGTACTTAGGGCCCCAATCCAAGGCCAATAAATCAACAAGAATACGCAAAACGGCTTGATTGAAATAAACAAGGAAAGCATCATCAAGCATATCAATCAAGGAGATACTTGCCAAAGATACACCTACAGAGCAGGAAACAAGATAAATCAAGAAGATCTTATACATTTTAAAGATATTCTGAATATATTTGTAAACCCTAGAGATCCCTAGGTATAAATAAGAAGAATTAGACATTTTAACACTCATGTACGTTCGCATATACTTAAATATAAACAATTTGCTCTACTTTTATCTACGGAATTGCGTCCCTATTGAACAAGGAGGCCTATCCTTACTCAGTATTGTATCTCTAAACTCATCTTCTTTATATTATTGAATATTTACTGCTTACTTATTGATTTCTTATTGATTTATTATCATTCTTAGTTATTTTATATGCTGTTGGTAGAATGATTGTTATTACCCCTCAAACCTAGCAAATTCTTAGATACCCTTATTGAGATTTTCCTAAACAATTTGGCGCCCACCGTGGGGCTGATAATCAATTAACCTACCAATTCGCCGAAAAACCAAGACAAACACTATGACTGGGCAACCAGTACCCTTTACTATTGCCGAAATTAATGAAGGAATGAACGCATTCCGCCAAACTTTAGACCAGCAGAAAAGCCAAATTGAAACGTTGCTGGCTCAAAAGGTCCAAACTGAAGCCAAACTCACCAGCCTTACCAAACAAAATGAAGCCCTTCGCAGCCAAATACAATCAGTTGCATCTAAAACCGTTAACACCAGAAAGAGCACTGAAAGTATAGCCATGCAGCTCGACATGTACGGAACCTTTCACACCCCTAACGGGGAAAAAGGATCTAACAACAGGGAAGCAACCCTGGATCTAGACTTTTTGGATGCAGGAACCACCAAGAAGGATAGTCAGGAAGGAGCCGAAGAGGGGAAAGTAGAAAAGATGGTCAAGGAATACCTCAAGACAATCGAGGCCAAAATCGCCGAAATTCCTGGAATGCCGAAACCCATGGAAGAAGAGGCAGCAGATGGCTATATAGAATCCCCATTCTCAAAAGAGATCGCCATGGTAGAGGTGCCAAAGAGGTTCAGCACGCCCAATATGACCATGTATGATGGAACAACGGACCCTGATGAGCATGTATCCCTTTACAAGAAGAAGATGATAACAAGCTCAATCCCTAGAGACATCAGAGAGGCTATCATGTGCAAAGGCTTTGGAGCCACGCTATCAGGTCCAGCTCTAACTTGGTTCATTAATTTAGATAATGGGACAATTCGATCTTTTGCAGGAATGGTGAACCTATTTAAGGTCCAGTTTGCTAGCAGCAGAAAAATCGAAAAGCAGTCTTCAGATCTGTACCGCGTTGTGCAGAGACATGGTGAATCCTTGAGAGATTATCTTAACAGGTTCAACAGGGAGAATATTGGAATATATAAGTGTGATGCTCCCACAACAATCGAAGCATTCAGAAGAGGATTGCTAGACCATAGTGAGCTCTATAAGGAGTTGACCAAATATCCCTGTACACCTTTGAAGATGTGCAAGCCAAAGCTATGGCTCAAGTCAGATTTGAGGAAGATGCGTACGCAAGAAAGACTCCCAATCCAGATCGCCAGTCAAGAAGGAACAACAATTTTCCTATAAGGGATCACCGATTCAAGCCGTATCAGCGTTCCCGCTTTGATGAGGGATCAGTCAATGCTGTCGAAGAAGAATTTTCTGATCGGAGGGAAGATCCTAAAGTCCCACCTAAGTTACATGAGTATTGCTTCAATTAACCCTGCAGGAGTAATTAGGACCCTAAATAAGATGGGAGATACTATGAAATGGCCCAGGAAGAGTGACAGGCCTAGAGAGAAGAAAGATCCGTCCAGATGGTGTGATTTCCATTCGGATATCGGTCACACTACTGATGAATGTGTCGCGCTCAGAAAGGAAGTTGCATACCTGCTAAAAAAGGGCTACCTCAAAGAACTCCTGTCAGATAAATCTAAAGCTTCAGGGAGGGAAAGAGAATCTAAGCAAGGAGGTCCTCCACCTCCGCCTCCAATTATCAAAACCATCTGTTTCATATCAGGGGGATCAGAAGTATGTGGTTTAACGTATTCTGCAGCAAAGCGACATGCAAAGGAGAGTAATAAGGATCAATCTGACAAGAGGAAGAAATCCAAGATAGACATTCCCATCATGTTTGAAGAAAGCGATGTAGTAGAAGGCCATCATGACGGCCTAGTGATTTCACTCCCAGTTGGAAACTGCATGATCAAGCGTATCCTAGTGGACAATGGAAGCTCTACAAACATCATCATGCTTGACACTCTGAAACATATGAACATAGACGAAAAGAACATCGTCAAAAAGTCAACAATGTTAGTGGGATTCAGTAGGGAAACCAAGAAGATAAGTGGAGAGATTACATTGGCCACGTACGGAAAAGGAATCAACCTACAGGTCAAGTTCTTAGTGGTTGACACTCTATCTTCGTACAATATGATCTTAGGCAGACCCTGGATACATGAGATGAAGGCCATCCCCTCTACATACCACCAAGTCATTAAGTTTCCTACTAGGTGGGGTATTCAAGAAATCAGTGGAGATCCTAGGGAAGCTAAGGAATGTTACAAGATCGCACTAAAAGCAACATCTGCAGAAAAGAGTTCAGCATAGCAATCAAAGGGTCAGCTGGGCCAAGAAAAGTTAAGCATAGCAGAGGAACAAGAAGCTACAGAAGTCCAGTTGAACCCCAAACATCCAGACCAAAAGGTCAGAATAGGATCAGAATTGAAGTCAGAACTCAGACAACAAATATATGACTTTTTAGAAGAGGAAAAAGATGTATTCGCTTGGACCCATGAAGACATGAAAGGCATCTCTCCAAACGTAATTACTCACAAGCTGAATGTAGATCCACTACATACACCAGTAAAGCAGAAGAGAAGGAAATTTGCGCCAGAAAGGAACAAGATTATTAATGAGGAAATCCAGAACCTATTGAAGACTGGAAAGATCAGAGAAGTAAAGTACCCAGAATGGCTTGCTAATGTAGTAGTAGTCAGGAAGAAGAACGGAAAATGGCGCATCTGTATAGACCTCACAGATATCAACAAGGCATGCCCAAAAGATTTGTTCCCTCTACCTCATATTGATGCCATGGTAGACGCCACAGCAGGGCATGAGTTACTATCCTTCATGGACACGTACAGTGGTTACAATCAAATCCTCATGCACAAGGATGACCATGAGAAAACCGCTTTCATTACTAGTCAAGGAATATACTGCTACAAAGTAATGCCTTTTGGATTGAAGAATGCAGGAGCAACATATCAAAGGTTGGTGAACAAGATGTTTGAAGAGCAAATAGGGAACACAATAGAGGTCTACATAGACCACATGGTAGTAAAGTCCAAAAAGGCAAAAGATCACGTCAGAGACCTTAGAGAAGCATTTGCCATCCTGAAGCAGTACGGCATGAAGTTGAACCCCACAAAATGCACATTTGGAGTACAGTCAGGAAAGTTCCTGGGATACATGGTTACGCAAAGAGGAATAGAAGCCAGCCCAGACCAAGTCAAAGCCATCCTAGACCTAGAGCGACCAAAGTCGAAGAAGGAAGTACAGAGCTTAACAGGGAAAATCGCAGCATTGAACAGGTTCATTTAAAAATCTTCGGACAAGAACAGAGCCTTTTACGAAGTATTGAAGAAGAATAAGGAATTCAAATGGGAGCAGGAGCACGACGAAGCATTTCAGAAGCTGAAAGAATACTTGGCCAACCCATTGATTCTCTCTAAGCCTAAGGAAGGAGAGCCACTCCAGTTATACCTCGCAGTGTCTGAAGGGACGATCAGTGCAGTCCTCACAAGAGAAGAAGACAAGGAGCAATTCCCAATCTACTACGTAAGCAAAACCCTACTTAGTGCGGAAACAAGGTATGTGTCATTAGAGAAGATCATTTTAGCCTTAGTTACTACTTCAGTGAAGTTACGCCCATACTTTGAAAGCCACTCCATACGAGTACGCACCAACTACCCCATCAAAGCTATCATGAGAAAGCCAGAAATGTCAGGAAGGATGGAGAAATGGGCCTTACATCTGAGCAGGTACGATATACAGTACGAGCCCAAGACAACAATCAAATCACAAGCCTTGGCAGACTTCGTAGCAGACTTCAGCCCAACTCTTGAGGAAGAAGCACAAAAAGAAGTATTGGCACTACAAGAACCGAAAGCTACACAAAAGTGGATACTCCACACAGATGGCACAACAAACACACGCGGAGTAGGCCTAGGAATAGTACTAACATCACCCCAAGGAGACAAGATAGCACAAGTAATAAGGTGCAACTTCAAAGCCGCCAATAATGAAGCTGAATACGAAGCGCTGATCACAGGATTAACCGTTGCAAAGGACATGAAGATACAACATCTAGAGGTAATTTCAGAATCCTTACTCATGGTAAATCAAGTCAATGGAGAATATGCAGCAAAGGATGCAAGGATGGTAGCCTACTTGGAAGTCACAAAGAAGCTCATTAAAGAGTTCAAGGAATTCAAGATAGATCAAGTACCCAGAAACTTGAACACTGAAGCAGATGCACTGGCAAACTTGGGATAAAACATCAACCCAGAAGAATTTGGAGCTATCCCCCTAGTGCACGTACTCTCTCCAGCCATAGAGAAAGAATCGACTGTGAGCGTCTACAAAGTTCAAGAAAACCCTACAGAGAAAGAAGGCAGCAGCTGGACAACACCACTGAAAGAATACCTCTTGGACATGACGAAACCAACAGGGAAAGTAGCAGCTCAAGCACTTGCTCAAAAAGCCTCCAAGTATTGCCTAATCAGCAATGTACTCTTTAAGAAATCTGTAGCAGGCCCCTTCTTACGATGCCTAGAAGTAAAGGAAGCACAGCAAGTCTTACAGTCTTTACATAGTGGAGAGTGTGGAAATCATTCTGGAGGAAAGAATTTAGCCAACAGAGCACTTAGAATGAGATACTACTGGCCTAACATGAGAAAGGATGCAGCAGAATTCGCCAAGAGGTGCCTAGCATGCCAGAAGCACGCACCCTTGACGCACAGGCCATCAGAAGAGCTACATCCAACACTGACACCTTGGCCATTCATGAAGTGGGGAATGATACAGTAAAACTTCCTCCCTCATCAGGAAAAAGAGTATACTTCTTAGCAATGACAGAATACTTTTCATAATGGATCGAAGCAGAAGCATACAAGGAAATAAAGGATAAGCACGTCATATCGTTTATAAAAAGAAACATCCTAAGTAGATTCGGGGTACCAGCAGATATCATTATAGACAATGGATCCCAGTTCATCAGCAATAAGACTACAAAGTTCTATAAGGAATGGAACATCTCCCTCATCACGTCTACACCTAGGTACCCACAAGCAAATGGACAGGCAGAGTCAAGCAATAAAGTCCTCAAAGGTAACATGAAGAAAAGGTTGGAAGGAGCAAAAAGGAAATGGGCAGACGAACTACCCAACATACTATGGGCAGACAGAACAACCCCAAAAGGCACTATAGGCCACACCCCATTCTCGTTGGTGTACGGATGTGAAGCAGTGATCCCAACAGAGGTAGAGGTTCCCACAGCAAGATACGGGTTAATGACAGAAGAAAGGAATCAAGCAGAATTAATTCATAACCTAGACACGGTGGAAGAACTTAGAGAAGACGCAAAAATGAGAATGACAGCATATGAGCAAGAAGTAGCAAGATCCTTCAACAAGAATGTCAGAACAAAAGTCTTCAAGTTGGGAGATTGGGTTCTCAAAAAGGTATACGAAAATACCAGGGAAGCAAACGCAGGGAAATTAGCACCCAACTGGGAAGGACCTTACGAGATCATTAAGGTGGTAGGCAATGGAGCCTACAGACTCATAAATGCAGAAGGAAAAGAGTTACAACAAAGCTGGAATGCAACGCACTTAAAGCTATATCATTTTGAGGAGCGAAGGTACATAGTTATCATCTCGATTGTATCTCTTTTTACAAAAAAAAAACACAAAAAAAAACAGAAAAACAAGCAAAAAACAAAAAAAAAAGAAAAACAGAAAAGCAAAAAAATCTCCAACAGCCAAAATCAGCACGAAAGGTACTCCTTTCTACTCACACTTTGTCAATTCAATTTATGATCATTACGAGTACTGACTTTGGCATCGGAGGGCCGTTGGGGAAACCCACGGCCACCCCTAACATTATTCTGTTTTGCAAGGAGCAACATCTACACTACTAAGCAAGAGCACAACAGGTCATCACATAGCAAGGGTTAATCATCCTTGCAAGGAACAAACCAACTGTCCTCACAGATCAAGCAAACACATGTAAGCAACACTACATTAATATTACAACTGTAATACAACTGTAATACAACTGCAATACAACTGCAATACGACTGTCAGACAACAATGATACAGTAAGAAACATAAACACAAATCAACATAGCAAAAGAGGCAGAATTACTTAGTTGCAAAGCAACAAAACAGACAAATTATCCAGCTACAAAAGTGTAGCACAAAGACAAAATAAAAATTATCCAACTGCACCAAGGCAGTAAAAATAAACATCCTTCAAAGTTAACAATTTTTTTAAGGTGACACAGCACCATTGAAACTAATTCTCATCCATGTTATCAGCAGGGACCACTTCCTCAGCAACAGGCTTCGTACTCTCCGGGACATCCCTAACCTCGGCGTTGTGAGGAGAATTCACTTCCTCATCAGCATAGCTCAGCAACAATGTGTCAGGAGCAGCAGTCCCTGCAGGAAATGCAACCTCAAAAGCTGCCTTATTAGCATCATAATCCCAGGCCTCATGCTTTCCTTGCTGAAACTCCTTCATCATTTCAAGACGAGCTTTCCCAAAGTAATACGCTGCAGCATCAACAACCTCGTTTCCATCCTCCTTCAAGGTTCTCTTTAGCCCATCACGTTCAGTAATGTATTCCCTATGCCTAGCACGTTCAGTCTTCAGAGCATCAATAGCAGCCTTGTACTTGTCAGAAAGAGCATCACGCTCCTTCTTCATAGCCTCATACACTCGAATAAACTCTGACACTTTGCCAGTACGTCCAAAAAATACTGAAGGCTCTGCAGAATACAGAATCAAGTAAGAGATGCCCAATCCGATATAACCATGTTTATTAAATTTTTGTTTTTTTTTCGGAGTATACCATACGTGGAAAGACTGCACAGCACCCTCTTGAGAAAGGTGAGCAAAAGTCTGCGAGGACTGACGATCCTTGAAGGACGAAAACAGTAGGGTATCCACATGCGGAGCCAAGGAATCAAAAGAGAAATCAGCAGCATCAACATCAATAGGCACCTCCAACTTCCTCTTAAGGCCAGTGCGAGGTGGAGGTGGAGGAGGATCGCTCTTTGGAGCAACCGTTTTGAGGGGAACGACCTCAGTAGTTTGAGGAGATGAGCGATGTTTAAGGCGACCTAAGAGAGAGGACGAGCTAAGAAGGTCATGAGACCTTAGTGACCTTGAAGTATCTACAAGGAACATGGCAGAATTCAAAAGGGTATACAACAAGGAACATAACAAACATACTCAGCAAGGAACATTACAAACACATCCAGCAAGGTACATAACCACCTCAGAAAGGACAAACGAATTGAGAACCAAGTAAATCATTAACA